CTATAAAATCACACTCTTTTATAATCACCAATTTTCTTGATACAAACTGTGTGATTATAGAGGAGGAAGACTGTATAATTGTAACTAAGACTAAGTATAATATGAAATCAAAACAAAAACTTTAAAAAAATCATTAATAACTCAAATTTTGATTATAAAACTATTTCACATTCTAATACAAAAAATTTTTTATTAAATTTTAATATAATCTATGCCTTTCTAATTCAAGCCTTACTCTAACTTTAACCTTAATTATAAAGTTTTATTTTTATAAAAAAAATTTGGTTTGATAATTACATTACACCTAATCTTAGTTATGATTACAATAACCTATAGTTACAAATTCATTAATTCTTATAATAAATTTTAAAACATTTAAATAAAATTTTTTAATAATATTTGAAAATAAGGATTATATTATTAAACCAAATTCAACAATTTTTTTTATTTTATTCTACAACAATATAGAATTAAAATAAAAAATTTTTACCAAATTTGGTCAAGTAATTATTGAAAAACCTTTGCTAAAAGTTTAGAAAATTTAAATATTTTAAATAATTGTTAAATTTTGATTGGTCATGTGAAATATTTTAGGTTGGTAACGCTAGGACAATTTGAAAAAAATGGTTTTTTTTTTTACCATCCCTAGCTCAGCTTTGGTTAGATTTGGCTTAAGTCTGTGGCTAAAACCGATTTTTAGTGAAGCTAATAACATTCCTAATTTTTTATCTTAAAAAAAATCATAATAAACTTCCTTTAATTTTCTTAATGTTATATTTATAATAATTCTTATTTAACACTAATTATTTAATACGTATAACTGATGTAAATACATTAATATGAATGTTATAGAGAATAATGATTAATATACCTATAATGATGAATGGTTTTCAATATTTTGGATACCATATTTCTCTGCCATTTAAGGCTCCTTGAAATATAACTTTACCACCGGGTTTTATCGATTTGGTTGCATCAATATATTCAAATTTCAAGTCATTATCATTAATTACAACGTGTAAAAACCCAAATGTTTTAATACCCCAATCACCACCTTTACATTTCGTACCAGTTGTTGAAGCTGCTCCAGAGATGAAGTGAGCGATTGGAGATTTTTTACTAGGCGATTTATATTGAAGTACATGATTATGACCAGCAAAATAAGCGGTTATTCTATAAGTTTCAAATAATTGTAGAAGGCGAGACATGCGAAATATTTCAGAACATTGACCCAACACCGGATGGTGTCCTGGTGTTAAATATACGGATCCGTATTAATTATTAATTAGATACATGATAGATACTTATGTAGAGTTATTAGATGCGAAGCAGCCAATAATGGATTTGTAAAATAATTCATTATCTTGCTTAGTAGCATCCAATAACGGTATTATCCGATAGCTTACGACGATCGAACCCAGCAGAATGATTCGGATTCTTTTGGTGGTAATTGCGTCGTTATCAAATAATTCTTTATTTTTATGACGTTGCAATCATCATCAAAATAACTCGAGTTATTCTGTTAATACGATCATAGTAAGCTGCCGGATAATAATTAATATCTTACCAACGACAAAAAGCCATTTATAATGTTGATATTCAATTAACTTCGATTCGATCCATTGTAACTTTTCTTCCATAGCGTTGTCAGTTTCCCAACCAAAACCGTATAAATTCTCTTTTAAGTTTTTCTTTCTAGCACTTAGCTTATTTGACTCTGAACTAAAATCGTAATAAAACATATTTGTATCGATATGGATCCAGGCTACAGTTGTTTTTGATTCGGAACCAAATGTCGATGTTCTAACATAGAACAGAGATGGAAGGAAAAATCGAGAATTCCTTGTTCGACTATAATCTATTTGTGCTGTTACATTATTGTACCTGATTTTTATGAATATCAAAGTCAAACGGTAATGTTTGAAGTTTATCGCCATATTAAAGATACAAACCAATCATGATTTCCAGCAACCGAATACCAAGTAAGTGACGATAATGTAGGTCCGTTATAAACGTTTAGCCAAACTTCCTGCCATTTATTATCGTCAACACTTTTTATTCCTTCGTAATCACCTTTAAACCTTTCATAAAAGTTGTCTTTTTTTTTTTTGTAGAAATATTAGTAGTGATTAATCGAGTCCAGCTTTTCAAATTCAAAATATAATCGCACTTGTACGAACCACCAACGTTTACAATGAAATGAGAACTATTTCTTCTCGTAACATCCTCCATTACCTTTGAAACATTCGCCTGTGATCCATATTTTAAATTCTTGTCTTTACCACTTGATCCCCAATCACCAATTACTAAAAAGTCTAAATAATTATTGGAATATGTTGCTTGATATACTGTATCTGTTGGCTCAATTATTGATTTTTCTTTTTGCGAAACTACTAATGCTAGTAAAATTTCAGGTAACGAGAGTAAGATAAATATAGTTAGATAAAAAAAAAAAGAAATATCGGACCGAATCATTATTAACACTATTGAGTATACGTTTGTTTTATTACTGCATTAGAAAATGTTCAAAATAACCTGTGCAAGTGCTAGTTACTCATGAAATATAGGTTTATAAGCGTCTGCAGTTGTACTTGTCAAAGTAGAGTCTTACTAAATTTGGGGATCGGCTAAAGCAACCCTAGCTCTCCCACAAAAAATTGTTCACCCCCTGTAATTTTTACCAATCGAATTTCAGGATCAGGTGTAACCTAAATCAAATTCAATATTACGATAGGGTGAAACCTTCGATGAAATTTAATCTTATAACGCAGTATTTAATTAAAGTTATTATTGAAATAAGATTCCACGATGAAGTTGAAGTGAATACGATAGATATAATTAGATAAGTATTTTTTTTTTACTTATTTAGTTAGGTTTAATTATAACGTTATGTTATCCTAAATGAATTCTAATTTAGTTCTTTGGCGGTATGTTTGTCAGCCGTAAATTAAAAGTTTTGGTTTATATCTTGTAGATTCTTTAATGAATTCGGATTTATTAGTAATAAATATCATATTTAGCGTATCTATCTATTCTCTAAGTACTTGAGATAAATTTTTTTGTGTGCAGTTATTAGTTTATACAATGTTTTTTTTCGTTTTTTTTTTCGTTTTCAAATACTGTAGTATTAAATTTTTTTAAAAATTGAGTAATTTAATTGGTTAATTATCACGGGTAATCACGGGTAGATCTACAAAAATTGACCAATCATAAGAATGTCTTCCTATTTTGCAGTGATTTTTTATTTGCATTCCCAAAAAGTACTTTATAGCTGTTATCATTATTCCTGGGACACCTCCAGGAGAGACCGTCCCAAATCAGGAAATATTTACCTGAGTTACCCGATTGTCACACAATTGATAACCAAATTTTT